CCCCCACCCCAGCCTCCCGAACCCTACTCGCGGACGAGGAACAAGCCGTCAACGCCCTGACCCTCGTCCTGACTGTGCCCGACCCGGCCAGCATCCCCCCCATCTTCCGCTCCAACTCCCTCACCCCCGAGTTGCATTTGCATCGCCGAGTCTACACCGAAGCCATCTCCAAACTCAGGGACTCCAACGACCCCGACTCCATCCGGACCCTTATCCGGGACTCCATGGAGCAGCTCAGCAGCTGCAAATCCGAAAACCTGATCTCGCACTTCATCGTCCTCTACGGTCGGGGCGGCCTGGTCGGAGACGCCGTCGACCTGTTTGACCGGATGCCGGCCATGGGCATGAGCCGCAACGTGAAGACTCAACTCGTTGCTCTATTCCTGCCTCCTGGCCCGTGACTATCGCGAGATGGGAAGGATTTTCCGAGATTTTCCCCAAAAATACGGGCTCGAGCCGGAGCTGAACACGTATAACACAGTCCTCAAGGGTTTTTGCGATGGGGGCTGTTCTAGTGAGACCCACGCCATACTGGCCGAGATGGAGGGTAAAAAGATAAAACCGAATTTCACCTCGTTCGCCACTGTAATTGCCGGTTTTTACATGGAGGAGAAGCATGGCGACGTGGGGAAGATTATGAACCTCATGAAGAAACACAGGGTGAAGCCCGTGATCCGTATCTACAACTTGAGGATAAAGATCCTGTGCAAACTCGGGAGATCGGAGGAGGCCAGGGCATTGCTGGGTGAGTTCGTGTCCAAGGGGATAAAGCCCAATGGTGTGACCTACAGGAACTTGATTTACGGGTTCTGTCGGGAAGGTAAATTGGAAGTGGCAAAGGGCTTGTTTGAGGAGATGGCCGGAAAAGGTTTGGAGCCGGAGCGTGTTTGCTATTTCACGCTTGTACTTTTCTTGGTCAAAGGGGGTGATTTTGAGGCGGCTCGAGATGTGTGCAGAGAGTGCATGGTGAAGGGTTGGGTGCCGTACATGACGACCGTGAAGCCGCTTGTCTCCGGGCTTGTGGGGATCAGGAAAGTGGACGATGCCAGGGAGATTATCCGGCATGTGAAGGAGAAGTTCCAGAGGAATAGGGATAAGTAGAAAGAGGTTGAAGAAGGCTTGCCTAAGTTAAAGGAGACAGGAGTAGTATCTGTTGCATTTTGCTATCCTTTTTTCTGGGTAGAAAAAAGGGCTCTAGGAGATGAAGGTTATTGTATTTGCACCATGAAATTGAGTTGCTTGGTTTGTTTCTTGGCCTTACTAGCAAATTTTCTTCCAACTAATCAACGATCGCATGCCCAAATATACTTTGATGTTTGCCTCAACTGCCTTGATTTAAGATAAATCATGACAGAATGGAAACAGTAATGTTGAAATCGGAGAGAATTTTGGGGAGAAAATTTTCATTTCATTGAGTGTAAAATGATCTAAAACACAGTTTTGCTAGCATGGTCAACAACGTTTAAACCCCTACTGACATGCAATTAGATCCTAGACGACGCCTCTGGCAATCAGCTTTACTTAGTACGAAACGGAGGCAATCAGCTTTTAGTACGAAACGGCAACGTTTATAAATTTAACACCCCGTTTTTTTTTTTAATAAAGCTTAGCATTGCATTCTCATTTCATTGCTCGACTAACTTTAAATTTCGGTTTTTATTTCTATTTCGATTCTTATTTCTTCTTTTGTGCTATTGTTTTGTTTATTTGCCCTAAGTGCTAAGTGTGATTATTTGAAATTGTTTGCCAAAGAGTGATTGTGTTTATTGTGTCCCTTGTGTTAAGTGTTTACAACAACAACAAAGCCTTTTAGTCCCAAACAAGTTGGGGTAGGATAGAGATGAAACCCAATAGAAACAGTGGTAAACCTTGTGTTAAGTGTTTAATTTAATTTATTGACTATGAGTGCTTAAGTGATTTTTATTGCATATTTTTTGTGCTTTGTGATCAATTAAAATTTTGTTTTAAATTGTCTAATTGTTTAATTGTCCTAAGTACTTAAGTAGTGCTTGCCCATAATTTTTCCTAAGCCTAAAGCCCAAGAATCTCGGCCCAACTCTCAATTTGCAGCACCTATTTAAGCATCTCCAAAAGCTCAGCCGCACTCGGTACCTCTATGCAAATTTCTTCAAAAATCTCCTCGGCAAATCAAGCTCCGAGCGGCGAGCTTCCGGCAGCGAGCCACCAGTTGCCGCTGGCTGAGTGTTGGACTGTCACGGCCAAGCATACCCGAGCCACCGACGACCGCAGCTCCAATTTCACGGCAATCACGTCGTCCGACCACGAGCAGCAAGGCTCGACCTTGCGCCCCAATTTTCCGGCGATCAGGCGAAAGGCGACCCTCGACCTCCGACGGGGCTGCGACCTCCGCGAGCCTCAACATCCGACGACGAGCAGCAACCTCTGAGCTCCGACCTCGTCCGGCGAGCCGTGGCCTTGTCCAGCAAATTGAGGTAGTTCCCCAAAGTCGACGACCGAAACCAGACGCCAGCCACCGCGACCGAAGCTCCAGTTTCCGGCGACTGAAGAAACCAGTCGAGGCGGCTGAAAGAAAACAGCACGGCTGAGGGAGAGCCTTGTTTTCCTTCCGAGACACTCCCAGCAGCCTCGGGCCACCAAGGACAGCACCTCCGAGGGTCTTCGGCTGCAAGCCACCCTCAGCACCACCTGAGCACCGAGCCTAGCCAGCAAAAGCCGAGGGTCCAAACCTTGCAGCCGATGCCCCATCAGGCCCGAGAAACCGAACCATCTTTCGCCTTGTCCTCTGAAACAAAGAAGGGTAGATGGCTGACCCCTTTTAGCATTGTTTTTTTTGGCCGAGATTATGTGTTTAGCATGCCTATTTTCAGTTTGTTTGAAGAGGATAAGACCATGCTCGATTTATATGTCTAAGTTGCCTCATTTGTGTTGTTTTGGGTTTGTTTTGTAGTAATTGTGTTGAGCCTCTGTTCCTTGCTGTGAGTTGCTGATATTATGTATTTTTTTAGAGGGCCTTATATCGCTTAAGTTTCAGTTTTGAAGGGTTGGGATTCATGCCTTATTGATTAGAAAAAGGAAGTATGTTTTGGTGCTGTTTTTGATTTTCGATATATTAAGGCTGTTGGCATGACATGTTGTAGTGTTGAAATATGATAGATTCATTGCTGAATTGTGTTTAAGAATCAGTTTTAAAGGCATAATTAGGAGGATAATTTTGAATTAGAATAGAACTTGATCTTGTGAATTGATATGCCTTGTTTTGTTGAATGTTCAAGCCCTGCCTGATGATGGTTATATTGCTAAAAACGTGTATTTATCAGTCTTATTTTCAGTTTTTAAGGCTGAGTTATTGTTGCTTTGGGTCAAGAAAAGAATAGAGGAAAGAGAGCAAGTATATGTGACACTTTTTGGCCTTGTATTTGATCATGTGCTGGGCCGTGTATTATGATTATTTTGCTGCCAGAATGCTCCATTTTCAGAGGATAAATCTCAGTTTTAGATGTGTTAAAAGCGTGCCTGTAAGTTGTGAAGATTTAGAGAAAAGTGTATGTGTATTCTTTTGCCTTGCTTCTTTGGCCGATTATTGAACTATTTTGCCGAACCTTTATGCTTGTTCTTTGTGTTGTTTTGTGTGTTGTTAATTGAGTTTAGTTTCGGTTTTGTTGGCCCTAGTATTGGAGTTAGTAGGAAGTGAAAAAGAAAAGAAAAGAGAGTCCTTCATGCCTTGATTTAGTGTTCCGATCTTAAGTCAGATCTTTGACAACACTAGACTAGTCTAGTTAAGTCGAGAAGTTTCAGTAGAAGTTTTATCTGTTTTAATTGCCGGCTTGGCTCGGTATGACTTATTTGCCTTATGTGTTTTAGTTACCCTTGCCTGCCTTGTTTGCATATTGTCGCCGCCCGTAAATAATCAGACAAAAATATAAACTGTAGATTAAAGAGGAGTCGGGCCCTAATCTAGATGCACTAGCATTTTCATTCAGTTGAGTTAGTAAGCAGTCAGGGGCCCTAATCTAGATGCACTAGCATTTTCATTCAGTTGAGTCAGTAAGCAGTCAGGTAGCAGTCAAGTGGGGATTTCTATGCTGTCTTATTCTTAATAATTATATGATATTATGTTTAAATTAAGTAAGTGAGTATTTGCCCACAAGGGGCATTCAGTTTCCCGTTGGCAAGCCTATGTAACCAACGACAAAATGTGTGCACAAGAGACAATCTTCCGTTGCGGGCAAGCCGTATGTAAGACGGATGAGTTCATTTCAGACCAGTTTATTAATTATATGCTTTTATATGCTGAGAGTATGATATCTGTAATTATCATGAATAATCACATTAGATTACCATGGTGAGCTCGTTGTTTTGATCACCCCCGACAATTATCATTTTCAGGTTAAGTGCCAGCTGGCACTGGACGAGGGACAATAGTGGTCAATTTGTGAAGTTGCATTATTTATTGTTCACTACAAAAAAAACACTACAATTCCAATGAAAAATTCCAACGGCAAAAATTTTCGTTGAAAATTCCAATGAATATTTCAACAAACTTAATTTTATGTTGGAATAAGTGTTGGATAGTTGAGGAATTCCAACGGATTTTTTCCGTTGGAATAGTTGTAGGAATTTATTTCCATAGGATTTTCCGTTGGATATTTGTTATTTCAACGGCCATTTTTCCAACGGATTATAGAAAATTCCAACGGAAAATTCCCGTTGGAATGTAAGAGTTTTTTTTGTAGTGGCTTCCGCTTAAATGTTTCAGAATATGTTATTATCAAACCTCTGAGATGTTTTTAATCAAAGGATTTCTCAACTAAAAATAAGAACTGCAATCGTCTATATGTTCTCTTTTTTTTTTTTTTGTT